TGCATGTCATGTTCTAAATTTATGTGTGCAAGATGGTCTAAAAGCGTTGGGAGCATCGTTGGAGGTAGTCAAGGGGGGGATTAGACGTATTTGGGGTAATGGACACCTTAGGAAAAAATGGCATGATTATTTGATAGAAAGAGGTGAGAGATATGTGGCTTTTCCAAAAGATTTGTCTATTCGTTGGAATAGTACCTATAAGTTAATTGGAGTTCTTCTTAGATATAAACAACATTTTCCTGCTTTTATGAAACAATATGATAACTATATTATAAACTCGGCTGAGATCGACACCTGTGAAAAAATTTGTAATGCTTTGATATATTTTAATAATGCAACTGAAACTTTTAGTCATGTTTATAAACCTACCTCAAACCAATTTATTCGTGAAGCTGTTAATCTCGCCGGTGCTTTTTCAAATTTTGAGAATGCTGATTATGTGAGTTATTTTGCTGGTTTTATGAAGGAAAAGTTTTTAAAATATTATTCACATATTCCGCATATTTATGGTATTGCATTTGTTCTCGATCCTCGTTTTAGACTTGGTTCTTTAGAAGAATGTTTGAATTATTATTATGCTGCTTTTTTTGGTCCATTGCCAATGTATGAGGACAACCCAATTGATCCGAAAAAAGAATACAACGAGGTTAGTGATATATTTTATGCATTATTCAATGAGTTTCATGCACAATATGGCAATGCGCCCCCTCCCCCGACACAAACATCATCTAAAGGAAAATCAATTTTCAAATCTACGTTTGCCAATCTTATTAAAAAAAAACAAAATCAACTCTCGCTACACAACAAAGCACAATTAATGAGATTTCTTTGTATTTAACTTATGATGTTGATTTTGAAGAAGATGATGATTTTGACGTACTAAACTGGTGGAAGGGAAAAGAAAGAATATTCCCGGTTTTAGCAAAGATGGCTAAGCAAGTGCTATCAATGCCGGTTTCAACGGTTGCCGTGGAACAAGAATTTAGTTCGGCCGGCAATGTTCTAACACAAACCAGAACGAGGTTGAGCGCTGAATCTCTTGAGATGCTTATATGCTACCACGATTGGTTGAAAGTGTTGGACCCAGTATACTTAACAAACAACAAACATAAGCAGTGAAGAAGAAGCAGATAGAAAGATATGGAGAAAATCAAACGAATCTGGTATACCGTGTAAACTGGCCGCTGCTCTCCCTGGAGAAGGAGAGCAGTGGCAAACCCTATCTCTCTATCTCTACGCCTCTGAACTCTAAGCCTCTATCGATCATTTTTTGGGGTTCCCGTAAGTTAGCCTCCTTTTATAGGAGAAGTTGGCTAACTTACGGGTTATAAGGAAGCCCCCGGGCTGATACACATTTGTGGCCCGTATTACACGTTTAATTGATAACTACACAAATACAAAGATAACTAACTAGATTGAACACCATAAAATATTCCCAACAATCTCCCCCTTGGTGATCAATCGTGTTGAATCAGTATTGCAGCGCAAATATCTTTGTCTTTGTTGTTATTGAGCTTCCTTTATCTTTGAACTTGACTTCTGAAGAAGGCTATCTGAAGAAATCCTTGCAATCTCCCCTTTGATGTCTTCTTGACAATTTGATCTTTGATGCCGGGGGTTGAGGGACCTTCAGTATCTTGCATGTAGTCCTTGCCTTCCAGAAGTTGCTCTTGATCAGCTTGGATGAAGTCCGGTGACGCCTCTAGAATGAATATTCTTTGGAGAATAGGAGACGTCCATGGAATTCATCTTCAGGACACGAGTATTTGACCTCTGTCTCCTCCACAATGTAGTCTTTTTGACTATTTGGAATGAATGCATTTGAGGAGAACTTGTCGGTGGCACAACGGAACATAATGATGGTTGATTTGTGAGTGTAGCTGACCATTTGATTTGAGTTGCGGAGATAGTAGAGAGGGTGTTGAATTTTGTGATGGAGGAGTGAAGTGTCCCAGAATGATTTGTTCAGTGTTAACAGCACGTGGACCACTCTCCCCCTCATGACGATCCGATGAATCGGGACGTCATGCTTTTATTCTTTTATTCTGCGGAAATAAAAACATGAAAAACAAGCAGAATCTAAAAAAGATAACGTAGCCCCCCGGGGTCGTGAAGACGCCCGTTATCATCACTATAGAGATAAACTCTAAAGCAATGGCCTGAAAATGTTGGTGATTCTGGTGTTGCAACAGCAGGACTTCCTTCCAATTATTGGTCTACATCTGTAATAGATGAGCCCTATGGAAGTTCTCGCAAGTCTTGAAGACTAGCAACTGACTCTAAAATGTGTCTGTGTCCTAGAAAATTTCAAAACATTTGGGAAGTGAGTAACTAGACACGACGTGATCAATGAAAGTTCAGTGGCATGGGGCTGAGGTCACTGTAGTCAGTATTACTTGCCTCGGAAGGAGACAGTAATGAGAGATGCGGTTCCCCGTGAACTATGATTAAACACCTGTCTGTTGGGAGACAAGTGAGTGGTCTAGGGTAGGGTTGTGCATGCGCCGTTTGGACAAAATGCAACGACTTCTACCCGGGATCTGAATAAATTCAGTCGTGAACCTATGGGGATAGTCCAGAGTATTTTAGTGGCTAGGAGTAAATGGCCAATTCATAGCAGGCAATTGAGGTAGCAGACTCATCATTGATAATTATTTCCTTCTCACTCGAGCCTTCTGCTTCCAAATGCTCATAATGTTCACTCACTCACTCGCTCACTTACACACTTACGCTCGGCTTTGTCCCTTGGGTAGGCTTAGTTGGGTTTACTAAGCCATAGGGACATGTTCTCTCATTACTTTCTTCATTTTCTCTCTGTACTCCCCCTCAACTGGAGACAAGTGAGTGGTCTAGGGTAGGGTTGTGCATGCGCCGTTTGGACAAAATGCAACGGCTTCTACCCGGGATCTGAATAAATTCAGTCCTGAACCTATGGGGATAGTCCAGAGTATTTTAGTGGCTAGGAGCAAATGGCCAATTCATAGCAGGCAATTGAGGTAGCAGACTCATCATTGATAATTATTTCCTTCTCACTCGAGCCTTCTGCTTCCTAATGCTCATAATGTTCACTCACTCACTCGCTCACTTACACACTTACGCTCGGCTTTGTCCCTTGGGTAGGCTTAGTTGGGTTTACTAAGCCATAGGGACATGTTCTCTCATTACTTTCTTCATTTTCTCTCTGTACTCCCCCTCAACTGGAGCACTCGGTATGCTTTGTCATTGTTAGGCACCGGGGAGGATTACTTTGAACACTCCCCCTAGAATGTTGCATCCTTTGAGAGATTCCTTGCTTTGTCGGTGTAAGGCGCCAGGAGGAGAAAACTGAAACTCCCCCTCAGAATGTGCAAGGTTTGATTGCTCACAGCTTGTCATACCCGCCATGTGTGTGGAGCAATCTGAACAAGTACCACACATGACGGTTCCCTGAGCTCACCATGTAGAATTTCAGCATATTGAAGATTACATAATGTTGATGAGTCAGGGGAGGCTTCAGCAGTTGATTGTTGTAAGATGACCGTTGACGTGAGGTTGATTGAATTATCTACGATTTTCGGACCTTTACAGTTAGGTTTAGAAAATATTTGACCTCAGGGTTGACTTTGAAAGAATTTGAACAGATTTGTCTAAGTTTTGACCTAGACATCGGTGATTTACAATGTTTGTCGGAAAACTAACGTTTTGACCCTCAAAGGCTGCGAGTGAGGGCGCGTGAGATTGGGTTCTGAGGCATAGCCCTAGAATTAATGTAGATCTTTGCGTTAGCTTTCCAACAAAAAAAGTTTGCTCAAATCGGATCACCGAGTCAAAAGTTATGGCCAAAACAGTGCGGTGTCGCAGAAAATCTCTAATATTGAGTTTTTGAGGAAAATCTTCGAGGTTGAGGTTCTCGATGTTGAATTTCGAGAGCAGGTGAATTTAAACAAAATTCTAAGGCAAAAACTCGAAATCCAAATCTGGAGATCTTAATTTCGAGTTTGCCTTGAAGAGTAATGATGAAATCCACCTGCAAAACAGACCTCAGAATAACGAAATCTTCAGAATTTCAAAATGTTTGGAACCTCGAAAACTTTGGAGTTTCGAAAAACCTCACAATATCGAAAACTTGCTGTTTGAAAAACATCAGAACATCGAAAACTTCTAAAACTTTGATAAACAGGGAATCATTCAGATATCTAAAATGTAAAGCTTCGATGAACTGCAAAGGATGTCAAGATTCAAATTATGAGTTCCAAGAAACTGCAAACTATGAAAGATTCAAAACATCGAGAAATCCCGAAAATTCTGAAATTTTTTAGAATGTCGAAATCCAAAACATCGAGTTCCTAAAACTCGAAATAAATTCCAAAACTCGCAATTCCAAAACTCTCAAATTTTAAAAACTCGAGGTTAGAACTCGAGGTTTAAAAACTCGAGGTCAGAACTCGAGGTTTAAAACTCGAGTTCATGACCGCGAGTTTACAAGCTCGAGTTCATGACCGCGAGTTTACAAGCTCGAGTTCATGACCGCGAGTTTACAAGCTCGAGTTCATGACCGCGAGTTTACAAACTCGAGTTCATGACCGCGAGTTTACAAACTCGAGTTCATGACCGCGAGTTTACAAACTCGAGTTCATGATCGCGAGTTTACAAACTCGAGTTCATGACCGCGAGTTTACAAACTCGAGTTCATGACCGCGAGTTTACAAACTCGAGTTCATGACCGCGAGTTTACAAACTCGAGTTCTTGACCGCGAGTTTACAAACTCGAGTTCATGACCGCGAGTTTAAAACTCTCGATTTTAAAAACTGTCGAATTTTGAGAATCTGAAAACTGTTCTGAATAGCCCTGAAGGTCGCGATCCCTCCTGTATCTGTTTCAAGTAAAAATCGTTTCTGCAGCAGTGTTAAAAGCATAAACTCGCAATTCATTGAGAGTTCTTCAAAAAATGAAAATTTGCAGAAATCGAAAAAGAGTATATGCTGCTGGATCGGCTTTGAAGGGCGATTCCAACAGTATAATTTTTTTTACAGATTTTCATTCACAAACAAGATTACAGGAGCAAAACTCTATATGAAGAAAAAGAGAAGAAAAGCAGAGCATTCTTCGTTAGATCCAAGAAAATCGCAGATACATTCACCCTGTTTCACGCCTCGGCTCTGATACCAAATGTTGGACCCAGTATACTTAACAAACAACAAACATAAGCAGTGAAGAAGAAGCAGATAGAAAGATATGGAGAAAATCAAACGAGTCTGGTATACCGTGTAAACTGGCCGCTGCTCTCCTTGGAGAAGGAGAGCAGCGGCAAACCCTATCTCTCTATCTCTACGCCTCTGAACTCTAAGCCTCTATCGATCATTTTTTGGGGTTCCCGTAAGTTAGCCTCCTTTTATAGGAGAAGTTGGCTAACTTACGGGTTACAAGGAAGCCCCCGGGCTGATACACATTTGTGGCCCGTATTACACGTTTAATTGATAACTACACAAATACAAAGATAACTAACTAGATTGAACACCATAAAATATTCCGAACAGAAAGCAGCACATAGAGCTCAAGAAATTGACATCACTCCATCCCAACACTTTATGGATGAATCTACAACAGAGGGTGGCTCTACCTATGCCGGAGATTCCGATTAAAAACAATTATAGTTCCTATTTAATTTTCAAATGTAGTTCCTATTTCATTTCAAATAAATGCACTTGAAGTTTGTTTTTTAATACTTGTATAAAACTATAAAGTATAAAATATAAATTAAAAAAAAAAAATATTTAACCGGCCTGGCCCGGCCCGGCCCGGCGGGTGGCCCGACCCGTGACCCGGGCGGGTGGCCCAGCCCGAACCGGACCCGTCCAACCCTCGGGCCGGTCCCGGGCCCACTATTCTTGAACCGGCGGCCCGACCGGGCCTAGGCCCAGCCCGGGCCCGACCCGGCCCGAATCCATCCCTAGTTAAATATAACCTTATAATTTCCAATTTTCCTTTATTCCCAGAACATACAACTTCAGTGTGACATGTATCTTACGAGGACACATACAACAATCATATTTAGGGGTGGACACATACAACTTTAGTCAGATCTTAATCCCAATTTCAATAATTGGAGGCACAGAACCGATCCGTGTATTCCGGGTCCCGGGTACCCGACCAGTCTATGGTCGTGTCCCAAACCGGTCTGGGCACTTTCTTTAGTTATTTAATAATATTACATTATTGGGTATAATATATTAATATTTATACTTCCTCCGTACCAAAATCTCTTCATACTTTTCTTTTTGATCCATCCCAAAATTATCTTCTCTTTCCCTTTTTAGCAAAGAATTTGTGATTCACAACATTTTTACACATTCTTACACATTTCTCCCTCCTCTGCACATCACTCTACCACACAATACCCACGATCTTAAATTGTGTGCCAATTGTACTTCCGAAGACAAGTATGGGACGAAGGAAGTATATATGAATGTATAAATAGATAATAGACATAAATATATATAATTATTATGAGTATGAAGATATAAAATGGGATTGACTGATTGAGGATAGTAGATAAGGATGGAAATGGGGCCTGGGCCCCGTTCCCGCCCCGTGGGGGGTTGGGGGGTTGGGGCGGGTATGGAGGATTATTTCCTCCCCGTTTAAATATGGGGCAGGTGTTGGGTTATGCACCCTCCGCATTGTCCCCGCTCCATCCCCGAAATAAGACTAAAACAGTTTGAAAATTCCAAAATAGGACTGCCATGTTTTTATTCCCAAAATAGGACTAATTACTGTCATGTTTTGGCAGTATTAGACTTTAAACATGACAGTATTTTCTAAACATGTCAGTAATTAGTCCTATTCTAGGAATAAAAAACATGACAATCCTGTTTTGGAATTTTCAAACTGTTTTAGTCCTATTTTGGGAACTTTCCCTAATAATTATCACAATACTAATAATAATAAGGGCTTTTTACAAAAGTATTACTAAAATAAAATTTATTTTTCACAAATATGAGTATTAGTTGCTACAATGTAGTGTCATAGTAACCTAAGTTTAAAATTGAACATAAGTTACTATAATTTCATTACTACTATAGTCATTAGTCACATTTTTGTAAATAGTCTTCATTTTAGTTATAAATATGTAATTACTAATATGAAGTGTTGGGATATTGACCTAGAGGCCCAATACCCAGATCGGGAAGACCCAAGATATCCAGCCCAAGCAACGGGCCCATCACTCTATGATGAATAGATCCAGTAAGAAGACATACCGAACGGAGTTCGGCCCAAATAAAGATTGGCCCAGTAAGAAGACATACCGAACGGAGTTCGGACTATATATCATACTTGGGCCAATTTGACAGCATCTTCAGTACAGCCCAACATCCCGTTCGAGCAACGGCCAACCAGCAAGTGGCCAGGTGTAATTAATGCCAGACTATGACATCAGCAAGTGGAAGCATGGATGACCAAGTCGGTGGAACAACGGCCAATCAGCAAGAGGCAGCCCATGCTCTCCATTAGTATAAATAGAAGGTTTCAAGTCATTGTAAGGGTTAGAATTTCAACACTCAGGCTCTAGAATAGCATCATTTGCCCTTACTTCTTGTATTAAAGCATAGTTTCCGACATACCGATCGGGAATTTCCTTGTAATCAGATTGGTTAATTAATACAAGTGAGCTTTCGAGTTTTAGTTAGTTCAGATCTTATATTTTCTTATACGCTTTGATTCTGGGCCATTCCTGATATATCCAAAGTTCGTGTTGGGCTTTCGGATCTACGGGATTTACCCTCAACATTGGCGCCGTCTGTGTGAAACTTGCAAAAAGTTTCACTTTCTAAACATCCAAAAAACCTCTATTTTTAAAAAATGGTCAGAATCAGCTCATATCATACAAACGACGGTTCACACCGTCACGGGAGGAGTCACACCCCGGGGAGTCAAAACCCTCAGGGACAATCCAGTCGAGGATCGTATCCTCATTTTAATGGGGATTTTGTGATTCCCGAATCTCTGAGAAGAAATCCTCGGGCCATGCGTGACATGACCCAATTCATGCAGCATATGGCGAACGAAGAGGAAGGAGGTTCCAGCTTTACAGGAGAAACTCCACGCGCGGAAACAACCACAGCGTCATCCCGTTCGCATGCCCATCGGGATAATCGACGTAGCACCCCACCAGCAGCGCATCCCAGTTCCAGTGACCGAACCCCGGTCAGGTCACAAGCTAGAGGACCAACTCCCGTCGGTCATCATTTCCAGTATGCCGAGCGGGAAAATACTAGGGCCCCTCAGCGGCATTGGGACCGGGACTGTACGGATATGAGGGTTCCACCACCGCCCCCTTTGACGGCCCAGGAGGAAGAGATGGCCGAGATGAGGAGGCAAATGAATGAAATGCGGGACCAGATGAACATGGTACCTGTACAACCTGCACCAGTTCAGCTGAGAATTACTTCCCCGTTTACTAAGGAGCTCATGTACGCGGATATCCAAGGGGGTGCCAAGCCCCCGACCGGCCAAATTTACGATGGGGTGGGAGATCCCCACGTACATCTGAGGAGTTACCAAGGGGGACTTATGCTGCTAGGAGCACCCGAGGCCGCCATTTGCCGGTTGTTTTTTAGCACGCTCAGGGGGCCTGCCCAGGAGTGGTTCGGGACACTGCAGCCCGGGTCAATCAATAGCTTTGCCGAGTTATCAGCGTTATTCTTGGCTCAATTTGCTTCCAGTGCCAATCCCAAACGGCACTTCAGCTATTTGACCAGCGTGAAGCAAAACGCCAAAGAGACCCTCAACCAATTCCTGAAAAGGTGGAGGGATGAAACTTTAACAGTAGGAAACATGACAGATGATACCGCCATTACCCTGTTCACGAATGCTCTCCGAACGGGGGAGTTGTACAAAGAATTGAAGAAGAATCCGGGTACGGCGTACGCCGAGGTGTTAGATAGGGCTCACAAGCATGCCGCCCTAGAAGAGGAGATAATGATCAGGGATAAGGTCATTACGCTTGCTACCCCGATCAGACTGGCCGATCGGCTGGGTCCTAGCCCAGCGGCAACTTTACCTCCCAAACAAGGGAGATTTACACCCCTGGTCCTATCAATAACGACCATCTATCAGCACGAGAGGGACAATATTCCCATCCCGACTGATTCTGGACAGTTCATGGGAACGGATGACAATGCTTTCTGTAAATATCACAACAGAAAGGGTCATGCCACCAATGCCTGCAGGGCCCTACAAACAGCAATTGAGGATCTGATCCGAAGGGGCCATCTGGGCAAATATGTGAACAAAGATCCGAATGCAATGGGCACGTTAAAACCGGCCAGGAAACCTAATAGCTGGCGCCGGGATGCTCAACGTGACGCCCAGCCTCAAAATGATGTGTATGTTCCTCCCAGGGATGAGCCAGAGGGCTCGGGAGGCCCTGGAAAGAAGCCTCGAATGGAGGTCAAGGTCATATTTGGGGGCGGGGATACCGGAGATTCGAACGCCGAACGGAAAAGGTTCGAGCGAAGTCTTTATGTGGGATCCGTCTCCGCTCCCCCCCAGAAGAAAGGAAGGACAGACCCGATCACGTTCGGGCCATCTGATTTACCCAATTCTCCAAGCCCTCACAGGGATGAACTGGTGGTAAGCATTTGTATTGACAATGCTTTGATCCGCCGAGTACTGGTTGATACTGGAAGCAGTGTGAATGTATTGTATCTACAATCATTCGAGAAAATGGGTCTACAAAGGAGCCAACTGACCCACCTACGGACCCCATTGGCAAGTTTCACCGGTAACTGCATCGAGGCGGAAGGGACCATCCAATTAATGGTTGAAATTGGGGATGAAACCCACAAAGCGTCACTCCGAATGACGTTCGTGGTGGTAGATATAAAATGCGCCCACAATGCCATATTGGGCCGACCGGGATTGGAAGATCTGGAGGCAATAGCCTCTGTCCACCACTCATGCATCAAATTCCCTACAGACACTGGGGTAGGGGTGGCCAATACTGACCCAACAACAGCCCGAACATGTTATCGGGAGGCCCTGAAACAGATGAACACTCGTGGGATGCGGGTGAATACAATTGAGGTGGAAACCCACCGAACGGAGTTCGAGGCACACCCAGAAGATATGCCCGACATTGATCCAGAAATAATATGCCACAAACTTACCGTTCGGTCTGATGCAAAACCAGTCCAACAGAAGAAACGGTATCAAGCAACCGAACGGCGGGAATTCACAAAGAAGGAGGTGGCTACCTTGCTAAGGATAAAGCACATCCGTCCGGTAATCCACGTAGAATGGCTATCCAATGTGGTTCTAGCCCCAAAACAATCTACCTGGAGAATGTGCGTGGATTACTCTGACCTGAATAAAGCATGCCCCATGGATCCCTATCCAGTGCCAAGGATCGTTCTGCTAGTGGATGAAACTGCCGGATGTGAGTTACTGAGCTTCATGGATGCTTTCCGGGGTTATCATCAGATATTTATGCACCCGGCCGATGCAGAGAAAACGGCGTTCGTTACTTCGGATGGCGTGTTTTGCTACATCGTCATGCCATTCGGATTAAAGAACGCAATGGCAACCTTCCAGAGGATGATCGGGATGCTGTTCAAAGATGTGTTGGGTGTCACAATGGAAGCCTACGTTGATGACATCCTGATCAAAAGCAAAAAGAAGGAAAACCATGTCCTGGATATAGAAAAGGTGTTCGGGATAATGCAAAAGGCGAATATGAGGCTGAATCCCAAGAAATGTGCGTTTGCTGTAAGAGGCAAATTTTTGGGGTACATGATGAGCGAGAAGGGGATTGAGCCCAATCCAGAAAAAGTAAAAGCAATTGTGGACATGGAGGCTCCGAGAAATCTCAAGGAAGTGCATAGATTGACCGGTCGGCTAGCAGCCCTGAGCAGATTCCTATCCAAACTGGTCGATCGAGCTATCCCGTTCTTCCAGATCATGAAGAAAGCCAACCCTTTCGAATGGACGGCCGAATGCCAAACGGCCTTTGAGGATTTCAAGACATATCTGTCTTCCCCCTGGTCTTGACAAAACCCGAACCAGGGGAACATCTGTATATGTACCTTGCTGTAGCTGACTTGGCCGTAAGCACAGTACTGTTGAAAGAAGAAGATGGCGTTCAACGACCAATCTATTTTGTGAGCAAGGCGTTGAACGGCCCAGAAACCAGGTACAGCTTGCTAGAGAAGAATGTACTGGCCCTGATAGCTGCCATTAAACGGATGGCCCCGTATTTCCAGACCCACCCGATAACTGTATATACTACCCAGCCATTAGCCACCATCTTGAGAAATCCTATGGCAAGTGGGCGCATTACCAAGTGGAGTCTCCTGATCGGGCAATACGAGGTAGATTTCAAACCCCGGCCTACTATCAAAGGGCAGGCCCTGAAAGATTTCATTGCAGAATGTACCACCCGGCCCTCAGAAAAAGATTCAGAGAACAACGGGCTGGATAACTGGTGGGAAATGTATGTGGATGGAGCATCTAGTGCCAAAGGTTGTGGAGCTGGAGCTGTGATCACATCGCCCGAGGGGTTCAAAGCATATTATTCTATTCATTTTGATTTCAATGTGACCAACAATGAGGCTGAATATGAGGCTCTCATTGCTGGTTTAAAGTATGAAAGGGCCCTGGGCGCCGATCGGTTAAAAGTCCGATCGGACAATCAATTGGTGGTACATCAAGTAAACGGCACTGCTGAGGCCAAAGAAGAAAGGATGAAGGCCTACAAGGAAATGGTCGAGGAGCAGATACGTAAATTTGAACAGGTGATGCTCGACCAGATATCCAGAATCGAAAATACTGAAGCAGATATCCTGTCCAAATTAGAGAATGCAGCGTTCGACGATCGGGCACAGGAGATCCCGGCTCATATCCAACGTTTTGCCCATCGGGAAACATTGGCAACCCCAACAATCATGGTGCTCCAGATCGAGGCCATATCTTATGCCATCCCGAGCTGGGTCGTAGATATGACCAACTACCTGAAAGACGGAACCCTCCCACAAGATAAAAATCCTGCTTATAAAAAAAAATGCATCCAGAGGAGAGCTTCCATGTTCGAATTGGTGGACGGGCAACTGTACAAAAAGAAATTTGGTGGGCCGTATCTGAAATGCCTCCCACCCGATCTAGCGACAGCTGTAATGGAAGAAATTCATGAAGGTATCTGTTCCAGCCACCAAGGGCCCAAGACACTGGCCAGAAAAATCATCTTGCAAGGGTATTATTGGCCAACTATCCAACAGGACTGCTTCGCGCATACTAGGAAATGTAAGGTATGCCAACTATACGCGCCGGTCCCCGGACGGCCTGCCACTTTCTACACTCCAATGACGGTGGCCCTTCCATTCGCAAGATGGGGAATAGACCTGTTAGGTCCTCTACCTACTGCACCTGGAAACAACAAGTACATCATTGTGGGGATAGATTACTTCACCAAATGGGTAGAGGCCGAGTCACTGGCCAGCATCACAGATGTTAAATGCCATAAGTTTGTCTGGAAAAATATCATTTGCCGGTTCGGAATCCCTGAACAGATTGTAACTGACAATGGAAGGCAGTTCGTGAGCCGGAATTTTGAGAACTACCTGGTCAAATGGGGAATTAAGCATTCCAGAGCGTCTGTCGCATACCCTCAGGCAAATGGCCAGGTAGAAAATATGAACCGAACTATCATGGATGGTATGAAGAAGAAGCTGGAAGAATACTCCTCATCGTGGCCTGATCAGTTGAATTATATTCTGTGGACTTACATGACCACACCCCGAACGGCCACGAGAGAGACTCCATTTGCCCTTGCCTATGGTTTCCAGGCCAAAGTACCAACGGAGATCCTAGTTCCCACACACCGAACGGTGCATTACAGCCCAGAACAGAATGAAGACAACTTACGGGCCGAAATGCATTTCATAGAAGAAAGAAGGGATCTGGCAGCGACACGAATGGAAGAGTATCACAGAGCCACGAGAAGATATTTTGACAAGCAGGTTAAAGTTCGTTCAATCGAGGTAGGGGACCTGGTGCTAAGAAAGAGAGAGAAAAGCAAACCGCTCGAAGGGGGCAAAATGGCACAAAATTGGGAAGGCCCCTACCAAGTATGTAAGAAGTATGCTTCAGGAACGTTTGGCCTACAAAATACTGAAGGCCGACCGGCAGGAACTTGGAATGTGGAGCATCTGAGGAAATTTTATCAATAAAAACGACTGTTGCCACCTAAAAAAAAATAGAGAGGGAGACATAACTTCCACACAAACTCAGCCCATGGTTAACTCGATCATTCCGGATGACCGAATGACGAACGAGTTAACAACATGGAAGGAAAATCAATTCTCAGCTTAGGGAGTTTTTGACCATAGATTTATGAAAGAATAAAGGGATAAAAAACGGCTTGAAGAATTGAGGCTCAGAAAATCGGTGCCCGTGGTTAACTCAATCATTCCGGATGACCGAATGACGAACGGGTTAACAACATGGAAGGAAAATCAATTCTCAGTTTAGAGAGTTTTTGACCCTAGATTTATGTAAGAATAAAGGGATAAAAAACGGCTTGAAGAATTGAGGCTCATAAAATCGGTGCCCGTGGTTAACTCAATCATTCCGGATGATCGAATGACGAACGAGTCAACAACATGGAAGGAAAGTCATCCTCAGCCAACGGCTGGGAGTTTGACGCTCAGATAGTCTCACCTCAGCGGTTAATATGAGAATCGATTCTGGAAAACCGAATGACGAACATATTAGCAGTTTGGAGGGAGCCATTATTTCAGCAAGAGTTTTGACCCTGTAATTACGCATTGATGAAGGGATCAAAATGGCCTGGAGTTCGAAGGACAGTGATTCTCACCTCAGCTTGTTAACACGTAGAATCATTCTGGATGACCGAATGACGAACGAGTTAACAGCTTGGAGGGAGCTGAGTCGTCAACTTAGCCAAAGTCGACCCTGTAATTACGTACGGGCAAAGGGATCAAAACGGCTTGGAGATGGTGTCAAGACCGTAAGATATGGATTAACCGAGCGACGTTCGGATAAGGTACGGATTGTCGCCCGGGGAATCGGAACTATGGTTTTGAAAAATCTCGCCTCAGTCATAAAACTTGACTTGGAAGCTAGTCGCCCTTTTAGCTATAAGTAAGGAATGACCCAAATTCGGTGATCTTGCTTACAGTTCGAAAAGGGTTACCTCAGACCCCTAATATGGATGATACGAGCCAGAGAGAACAGTTCGGAATGCATCGGAATTATGGGTTTGGAAGGGAGATAGCCTCACCTCAGCTTGTTAACGCATGAAATCATTCTGGATGACCGAATGACGAACGGGTTAGCAGTTTGGAGGGAGACCCTATCCCAGCCGAGAGTTTGACCCTGTGGTCACGATCAAAACGACTTGGAGGAATTCACCTCAGCTAAGAGTTTTGAACCCGTGCGTCACGAACAGGAAAAGGGATCAAAACGGGTTCGGGAAAGGTGTCAGAACAATTGTGAAGAGAGTCTCACCTCAGCTTGTTAACACGTGAAATCATTCCGGATGACCGAATGTCGAACGTGTTAACAGTTTGGAGGGAGCCCCTATCCCAGCTGAGAGTTTGACCCTGTGGTCACGATCAAAACGGCTTAGAGGAATTCACCTCAACTAAGAGTTTTGAACCCGTGCGTCACGAACAAAAAAAGGGATCAAATGGGTTCGGGAAAGGTGTCAGATATAAAGATACATGAGCCAAGTGAGGTTCGGCCACGTAGAGAAGATTGTGAACAAAAAATCAAAGGAAGAATAGAAAAAATACAACAGACAAAGGAAGAAGTCCAGTTTATTCTTCGGCATTACTAGCCGGAATATACAAGAAGAATGAATATACAAGAAAAGAGACAACAGATAAGGAAAGGCTACACTACTGGAGGATTGCCGTTCGGGGAGGATGTAGGCTGAGAGTTCCCTGCTTGCACTGCATCATCAGGCGCTCCTTTGGACCTTTTCTCCATAATGCGATCATATGTATTCCCGAACAGATCGTCAAAGCCTAATTCGTCGGGATCGAACGACTTGGGGAAATGCTCGAGGATCAATTCAAGGTTCCTGTCCAGAAGCAGGTCATGACTCTGCCTCACAGTTTTCTCGGTCAGGACATCCAAAAAGGATTTCCCTTCCGGCGTGCTGTCCAGGAGATCGATCCCTGCTTTGATGGGATCTTCACTTTCACGCAAGAATTGCCCAAGGTGAGGACCCAGGAATTGCCGGACCGTGTTCTCCAGAGCGACGTTCAGGCCCTTTCCCCGTTGAAAATCCACTATCGATTGTTGAGCAATCTGGGAAGTATTGACCGTATAGGGTTCGGGCAGATGGTCGCCAACAGTTTTGTCAAATTTAATACCAGCAGACTCAGCAGCCCGCACCTTGGCCCGGAGTTCTTTAAGCTCCCGATCGCGACGACGGGACATCTCCTGCATCTCGGCCAGAGCAGCTTTTGCCTTCTCACCCTCTTTGGCCTGCTCTTGAAGATCGGCCGCTAACTTCCGAGCGGCAGAAAGGAGGACCTGGCCATCATCCCGATCGCTGGCCAGGGCTTTCATCTCCTTCTCAGCGGCAAGAAAGGCCTTGTGATAATACACGCCAGCCTGAAAACAAGATTTCAATGAAAGTCAGATAAGGTAAAACATGAATAGTAGAAAGGCATGGGTCGGAATGAAATGTACCTTGAGTGCTTCCTGGTGACCTGCTTCAAAAAGATCCGACCAGTGAGTCAAGTTGGTGAAGCTCGGGGGAACTTTGATCGCAGTATGACACCACATTGAAGATGGCATCAGCCCGAACAGATACCTCCCCTCTGATCTGGGCCCCATATTTGAAAACTCAACAAACATCCGATCATCGATCGGTGTGGCAGTAAGAACCGGAGTTGGTTTGTTGGCAGACGCCGATCTTTTGGGCTCGACCTCCGGCCCGGTCAAATCAACCACATGGTCGATCGGGATCAGGTGATCGCCATCATTTCCTTTGCGCTTTTTGCGGGTTTGCTCCGCCGAGTCACGATCGGCTATCATCTTCTCCTTCCCTTTAGCAGAAGAGATAGAGCGCCGAACGGGTATGAGAGATATCACGCCTAAAAGAAAGAGAAATAAAAGATAAGAAGTTGAATTGTGAGAGCGAAGGATGATCGGGTTAAAGCCCTACTATGTTTACCGATTCTAGCAGATAACATGCTCGAAGTGGTGACAAAGCTGCGAAGACTTCTGGTCCCTCCCATCCGCAAAGACTCAGCTTGGGAGCGTAGAACGGCGTCTACCCTGGGCAGAGAATCCCGAACGGGATATGCGTTCCACCTATCCGGGAATGGCAGAGAATCACCTACCCGAACGAACAAAAACCGCTCCTCCCAGTCAGCCTGCAGGGTAACGTTCTCTGTGAACAGCTGACGGTCAGAACGAGCTACCAGTTTCAGGTACCCGGTCGTCCAGTAGGGCTGATAGCAGTAATGATAAAGGAACAGATCGGCGCTTGGGGTAATCCTCAACTCGTGGCACCGGATAATGAAGCCTGTCAGAATGCGGTAGGAGCTGGGCACGAACTGAGCGAGCAGTACAGCAACCCAGCGTAAGAACTCCACTATGAATGAATGGAGAGGGAACCGAAGTCCAGCAGTCAGAGCATCAAGGTGCACTAGCACGTGCCTCGGTCGGTGCCTCATAGGGTGCCGAATGAATCCGGCATAGTATTCTCTTAGTGGGGGCAACAACTGGCTGAGTTGCCGTTCAACATCTTCTGGGAGACGTTGTTTGTGTTTGCGTATGCGATTGAAGTGTAGGGCAATGCGGGGTGGCCGCTCGGGCATCCCCTTGTTGTAAACTTGGAGTTCATCTCCGGACAGACATCCGTCCTCCTGTGGCAGTTCGATATGTTTGCTGGCCTGAGGATTGGCGGGTTTAGGTGTTTGGGACAAAGAGCCTTCGGCCTGGTTACCAGCGGATGTTTTGCTTTTGCGAATCAAAGGCATCTCTTCAGATTCTGAGCTAGAGGAGTAGTACATAAGAACGCTGAAAGAACTCTGGGAATTCTAGAGAGAGAAGGCATGAGAGTATGCAAGGGAATTCTGGGGATTCTAGAGAGAGAAAGCTTGAGGAAAAATGAGAAAACAGCAGGAGAAATTAGGGGAAGCACCTCTCTATAAATAGGGAAAGTGCCACACAAATCCCTAATCCATGAGCAACACGTGGCATTGGGTGGTTACGACTAATCTGGGGCATTTATGATTCATTTTTTGTGCACGTACCCCGGACGGGCTTACAGAGGATTAGCAAAGATCACAGGGGCTTGCTGTTTAGAAAAATGCTAAGTCCTAAATGTCAACCTGAAGCCCGACCGGCCATCAGTGTTGTAATATGTTATCTGGAAGAAAACGGCTAAGTCCTAAAAATTGGTTTGAAGCCCGACCGGCTATCAATGTTATGAAGAAGCCCAGGTGCAAAGAAAACCAAGAAAACTGCTAAGTCCTAAAAGTTGACCTGAAGCCCGACCGGCTATCAACGTCATAAAAGCTATCCTAAGGATTGAACTGAAGCCCGACCGGCTATCAACGTTGTAAGAGATTATCTGAAGCAAGAATGTGCTAAGTCCTAAAATTTGACATGAAGCCCGAACGGCTGAGTACCAGGGAGAAGGGGTTTTTCCTTAAATAAATCATCAGAACTTTCTAATGCCCGAACGGCGATCAACGGCATTAAGAGTAGTTGAGCAAGAAATAAAGTTAGGAAATTGGTTAAGTCCTACAAAATGGGCCGAATCCCGAATGACGAGTAAATCATGCATTAAAGACAGAAAAGAAAGTACACAAAGCTTCAGGCAAAAAAGGGATATATATTCATCGGTTCTACTGACCGGGAAGTACAGGCTACTTGGAGAAAAGAAAATTACAACAAGAATTAAAAAAAAAGTACATATGAATTATTGACCGGGGGCCATTTCATCTTCCTCTTCATCCTCATCATCATCAGACGGGGGCTCAGGCTCTTTCCCCGCAGCTCGATCAGCTTCCCGTTGCTGGGCTCGCAGAAATTTCTCGAACTGCGCCTGGATAATGTCATCTTGGGGAAGACCGGAAGCCTGAACCGGCCTCCCTAGATTATCTTGAAGCTGAGCAACGAAGGGACGCAGCAAGACCTGGCCAATTTTGCCATAGAGGTCTGAGACAATGGAGTCGTTCCATTTTTTGGCCTCGGGGTCCTTGTCCAAGAGGGCCACCCCTGCCGATAGCCGGCCAGCACCCTTGGGAAAACCCTTCAAGTATGCCCCAAAGGCGAACGGGATTTGGGCCCTTGCATGATCATCCTTGATGATGGAGAATTCATCAGAGGATTTCAATGTTTCCCGGACGGCGGACAGATCCACGTTCACTTCATAGGGACCGTCCGGGATGCTGGATGGCATTTCTTCAAATTTAACCTGTGCGGCCTCAGCAGCAAGGACCTTGGCCTGGGAAGCTGCAAGCTGGACCCGAAGGGTGCCGAGCTCAGCATCCAGCCTCTGCTTCTCCTCCGCAAAGGCCCTCCGTTCGGCCTCCAGAGAGGTGATGGCTGCAGCAGCATTTTGCTCAGCAGAAGATTGGGCGACAATCAGTTCCCGCTCCTTAGCCAGACGGGCTTCTCGCATCTGAAGGGTGTACAAACCCATCTACAGAGTACCGTTCGAGAGTTAGTACTGATTACAGAGAATAAAATAAAACAAAGCGCAAAAGATAACGTATCTTCAGAGCGGTCAAAGCCAGACATTCTTCAGATTGCTCGACCGGCAACTGAGGAAGGGAAAAGTTGTTGAACCAAGAGGAGGTCGACCAGATCTGGCTTGCGGTAGAATCGGCCCTTTCTAGAACCTCATGGACGGGATAGATAAGGAGATCCGCTCGACCTGACCTGTAATATGATCACTGTGGGTCTCACCTGCATTCGAGGGTTCCCCCCGAACGGATTCGAAATGCTGAGAAAATTGATGCATTTGGTCAGAGCCGAACCGGTCGTCGACCAGCATGGCCTCGAGTTGGTCCTGGTGGACCTGCTGTATTGGCTGAGGCTCTGGAAACGGTTGAGAAGGGGCAGCATCCTGAGCTGGAATAATGGTGGGAGTAGGTTGGGGGTTCTTCCGGGATTTTTTCCGCGTACCGGCCCCATCGGCTGCGATAACTCTACTGTCATCCATAGGAAGATCTGGGTTTGGTGCTGAAAAAAGACAAAGAACAATGTTAGTATCGAGCGGCCTTAGCGTGTGAGAAACTAGAAAAAAGAATAAAAGAACGTTTCTCGCACGGGAAGGACCGCCCGGACCATGGCACTTGGTTTATCAAAACAAGTAAACCCAAGAGAACGGGCAGTACCTATCCCGGCTGTAATAAGTCGCTCGGGAGTCAGATAACTCATGATGTCCATGCATTTATCCTTCTCCACAGCAAGCACGTCCTTGTAGATTTCTTCAGTAAGGACAGGATCAGGAGTCTTGCGGGGGAAGGCATTCCATTTACGGGGAATTAGACCGTCCGGGACAGACACGAAGAAAAACCAGTCTTTCCACCCTTTGATTGAAGTTGGGTTTCCCTTGAACAGGATGTATCCCGTTCGGGCACCAGTGGCCAGATAGCCGTGGGTTTGTTGGGGGGCTACTTTGAAGAATTGGTGGAAGAGTTCTAGGGTTGGTCGGGCGCCGGCATCTTTGCAACGACGAATAAAACCCGCCATTGCCCGATAGGAGTTCGGCATGATCTGGACCGGTACAACTTCGTAGAAATTGAAGAAAGAAATGAAAAAGGGGTGTAGTGGAAACCTAAGGCCGGCCCTAATTGAGTCAAAATGGACTATGGTCATTCCGGGCCTATGACGCATTGGGTGAAGCCCAGCTTGCAAACGAAAATCCACCGGGTCAGGGATAAGGACCGGAATTTCGGCCCTATTGTGAGAGGTCAATTTTTGCCGCCTCTCCCTAATCAATTTTAGGTCAAGGGTATGGCGAGGAACATCGTTGGGACGTCCGGCCGCCATGGAGGCTATTTCGTCCTCGGATTTGGTGTCGTCGGAATCCTCACTGGAGGAAGAAGAAGTGCTAGGGAGGTCCTCCGCCTCAGCCCTGGTATTCGTCGCCGTCTCAGTAGAAACACCGGCAAACGGAACTGGGATGGCATCTACAATGGCGGTGTCACGGTCATCTCCATGAGAGGCCATCTCCGAATCAGAGGAATGCTCTTTGGGGCTCATCTCGATCGAAGCCAGAAATGAAGATAGGGAATCCGGAGTTGGGAAATTACCTGAGCAAAGGAAGCAGGGGGAAATTTGCAGAGGAAACAACGAAGGCCAAGGAATTGCAGAGTCGAAACCCGGAATTGAGAAGTTAAAGGCTAATTTATAGCCTTGAAACCGCCGTGTCGAGAACCAATCAGAGAGCGACACGTCACTAGGAGCATTTAAGCTAAACATGTGTCTAATGAAAAGACTAAATGACGGTTATCATGATGAATATGGGGAAATGAAGCGGCAGCCGTCGAATCGCAACATGGGGAACTGATTACTTCTGTACCCCGATCGCCATTCGGGGTATTATAACATTGATATACTTCCTAATGCACTCACTTCGTTCGAGACATCAGAAGTGGGGGACTTGTGTTGGGATATTGACCTAGAGGCCCAATACCCAGATCGGGAAGACCCAAGATATCCGGCCCAAACAACGGGCCCATCACTCTATGATGAATAGATCCAGTAAGAAGACATATCGAACGGAGTTCGGCCCAAATAAAGATTGGCCCAGTAAGAAGACATACCGAACGGAGTTCGGACTATATATCATACTTGGGCCAATTTGACAACATCTTCAGTACAGCCCAACATCCCGTTCGAGCAACGGCCAACCAGCAAGTGGCCAGATGCAATTAATGCTAGACTATGACATCAGCAAGTGGAAGCATGGATGACCAAGTCGGTGGAACAACGGCCAATCAGCAAGAGGCAGCCCATGCTCTCCATTAGTATAAATAGAAGGTTTCAAGTCATTGTAAGGGTTAGCATTTCAATACTCAGGCTCTAGAATAGCATCATTTGCCCTTACTTCTTGTATTAAAGCATAGTTTCCGACATACCGATCGGGAATTTCCTTGTAATCAGATTGGTTAATTAATACAAGTGAGCTTTCGAGTTTTAGTTAGTTCAGATCTTATATTTTCTTATACGCTTTGATTCTGGGTCATTCCTGATATATCCAAAGTTCGTGTTGGGCTTTCGGATCTACGGGATTTACCCTCAACATGAAGTAATTAAAATATCATGGTGTCCCGATGGGTTTAGTTGTTTCCTATCTAATGGGTTGTGCCTAATTGGTCTATCTAATTCTTATTTAATAACTCAGCTATCTTGTAAAATCGGTTATCAAAATCATATAAAGTAAAATGAATTTGGGAGAGTTATAAAGTGATACTAGCTATCTTGTGAATGTTTTCTTCTTTTACTATTATAGTGCATTAATTCTTTTCGTATGAATGTCATCTTTTTGTTTGTAGTTAATGCTCTTAAAAATCGGGTGACCATAGATCGTCTTAAATGCTATCAAATGATCATGATCGATTGAATGAAGGACTTAAAAAAAATTATAGAGCTAATCAATGCTAATAAAGTGTTTGATAAAATGACTAAATCAAAACGTGTATAATGTGTTCTAGATTTGAAATGGGGTGTAAGGTTACATTGACACTTAAAAACTAAAAGGTTTTTTAGCTACATATTAAAAGTGTTGTTTGATTTTTGAAAAAGTGTCTGGGTCATAGTGTTAATTTTTGACGAATATTTCCCCTCGTTTGGTACCCATGGGTCTAGCGAGTCGGGGTGGGGGCGGGTCGAATAGTAGTGGTGGGGGATGGGCGGGGGTGGGGGTGATTTTTTAGACACGGGGCGGGGGATGGGGGAGTGAACCCCACCCCAACCCCACTCCATTGACATCCCTAATAGTAGAGAGAAGAATGAGATTTGAGAAATTTGGAGTAGAATAGAATAGATGTGCGAAAAAGATGATAGTAATGTGAGGTATTTATTGAAATTTTAGACCCCACTCCAAACCCACTTCAGAATGGCTATATGCCGTTGTCAACGGCTACATGCGCACCCACCCTCCTAATTAAAAAAAATGAAATGACGTTGGGGACCACCGGACTAGGACTGGGACGGGTCGGTTAGGTCCCAAAAAAATTAATCTGGGACTGAGTACCCCTTATACTCGGTCAGGTACCCGGTCTTGACCTAGGACCAGAAAACGAACCTGGTTCAATCCAAAACAGTAAGAGACGGGGTCCATCCCTAATCGTACAACTGTAAAATTTAGCACCAGAAATATTATTACAATTGAATGAATGAATGATCAACTTGGCGTCACTTCAAGAAAATGATCAACTTTTTTCCCAGGTCTTGATTAGACTTGTAGGAAAAAATAATATTGTGGAAATTATTTCAAGACATTCACAGATGGTATGGTTTACAATAAAAAATTTCAATAAGCTGTTCATGCATGGATATCTCATGTTACGCATGAAAAAAATGGAGATCTGGTATTGACTGACCGGCTATCTTTTCCCTTCTGATTGCGTATGGAATGACCCGCACAGCAAATGAAGTCAGATATTCAAAAAGCCGCGATCAAAATAGAGAGACCATACCGTAACATTCTAATTTCAGTTTCAGGCTTTGTTATACAGCTGAGCGTAAACTCTCTTCGTGCGGTAGACAACAATCAAACTGAGGACACACGCAATAATGCAGAGACCGGACATGATTCCACATGTGAGGGAATAACATACAGTGCCAGTGCAAACAAGGGCTTCCTCATCTGCAAGTGACGTTATTCCGAGTCCCAGAGTTTTCCTTCTGAGTTCTTGTTGCTTATTTGCTTCGTAGTCATAGATACCACTGGCTATTACACCGGAGAAGACCAAAGAACCTACAGGACTTGCCAGGGTCAGGAAATTATATAAAGCTCCAAAGCTTTTCAATCCAAAAAGTTCAGATGCTGCGGCCGGGACAATTGCCCAGTGGGCCCCATAACAAAGGCCTATCATGATTGATAGTACATAAATTGAACCAGGCCAGCCCATGGCGTAAAAGAATAGCACCATTGCCATAACTATTTGAACAGCAGCCATTGCCACCGGCCTTGGATAGGCATAATTCCTGGTAAGCATTAAAAAGAAAAGGCATTACTTAGTATATAGCTAAATACTAAATTATACTCCCTCAATTCTCTATTAATTGCTCCGTATTACTTTTTGAGAAGACACTTGCTCCACATTCTTATTTTGGAAAATACCATCAAATCGAAGTACATAAATACTCTTTACTTCTTTATTTTCTCTTTCTTACTTCAACCTTTTCATTTACTCTCCTCATAACTCTCACTACTCCTACAAGTTTCCTCTTAAAAACATGAAAAATCAAAACTGAAAAGAAATGGATGGTGTATATTTAAAAACTGAACTAAAAGTTCTCTAGAGGAAAAGGTGACCTGAACACTTGATCCTAAAAACACAGCTAAAAAATGAGGGATTAGAAACCCTTAGCATACCTCACAATATTTTCAGAGAAGTATCCACCAGCAACGCGGCCAAGAAAATTAAAGATACTGATCATAGAGACAAATATGGAGGTATTGGAATACCCTAGAGACTGAGACATCTGCCCAAGATTGTCAATCACTGTTAAACCAGAACCAGATGCTAATATCAGTGAGATGAACATGAGCCAGAAATCTGCTTTCACAAGTGCCTGAAGTAAAGTAAAATCTTCCCCCCTGCGCGGTCCCTTTCTACGCTTCACCCTAACAGCTCCTTCTGCAGCTGCTTTAAATAGTTTCGCTTGCAAATGAGCAATCCTTTTCTGTCTTTCAAATGGTGGCAGTGTGTCAACCTCTGGAGGTTTCTCATCCTCAAGCTCACTAAATATAGACATGTTCCTTTCCATAGTTTGAGAGGGTTCTTGTTTCTCTGATTCAGTGAGAAGGCTCTCCTCTAGTTGAGGTCTTGACCCCGAGGAGTATACCAGAATAATTGGGATTATAATTGGAAGCAAAATGAGGACAACCAAGATAACAGTTAACAGGGTTATCATTTTCTGGCTCACACTAGTCAAGTCCTGGAGAATCAAAACTGCAAAGAGATATACAGCCAGAATAAGGCAAATGCTGTAAGTGAATTGGAAACTTGAATTATCAGATGGCCTGGCTTGCCTGTGACCTCCCACAGGTCTCACAAGGAACATCACAGCAGTGATCACAATTGATGGCCCAACAGCAACCACGAAAACCAGTGATGCTTTATCAGGGAAATTGATCATTGTGTAAACTTGTGTCAAAATTGCACCACTCAACCCTGCAAATCCTTTTAGGATCCCAACTATTGGACCCCGGTTTTTGGGAAAATTTTGAACACAGGACACTAGAGCTCCAGTATTGAAGTATGTCTCACCGTTTGTCCCTACAAATATCAAAATACAAAGCTGCAACATAAAGTTTCCTGTTAGCAACTATAATCAATAGAGAAACAAAATGCATATTGCACTAATAGTTTTATGGAGCAGAGCAATGGTAATACAATACACACCAACCAACATACCAGAAAAAGGGCAAATGACGCATAATAATTAACCGAGTTGAAGATTAGACAGTTCATGTTTCAAACCTTAACTAAATTATGCAGCTTGAAACTGACTGTGCTAAGAGAAATGTTTGGACAAACAATGCAACAATTATCAACCCTGATCTGAGGTTAGGCTGACTAAAAAAAGAATTTAATGTCATCATTTTCATCATTTTCATTTACCCCAGTGCCGCAAAGGCTCCCACCTACGGTGGGGTAAAGGGGGGTCGGATGTACGCAGTCTTACCCCTGTACTAAAGCACAGAGAGACTGTTTCCGGATGACCCATAGTGAAAATCCCGTCCAAAATTGCATGACTGACCGTTGCTTCATAACAAAGAAGCGCAGACGGTGTAGTGAGCCATTTTGCTTTATTCCATCATAATCTCAAGCCAAAAAATAATGAATCTTTGGCTCCATTCCAAATGATGGAAAAAAAAAATTTAATGTAAGAAAAAAAAAATCTCGCTGCTATGATTTATATAACCTATAATATATTAAGATCCAATAAGGGTTTCCAGAAATGGATATCAGAATCCGTTTCAAATTTGACCCTGGACTTTTAAAAAACAATGATCCACTTTTCTTGTTACAATCTGTTCATGTTAAAACGTTAAACCCTTGTTCCTTTTCTTTGTCTTTCAGCATTGTTCATAGTCATCACCATTATCCAATCAGATGCATAAATATTATTCTCATGTCACAAATTCCCATATGTTTCACACAGAGCTCTAATCTGACTGCTATCTGTGCACCAAAGTGCTTTGTCATTGCTTATGCTCCCACAGTCTCTGGATGATTCATGATAGTGACAAACTGACAATTGTCAAGTAGAAGTACTACAATTTCCTATTCTCATTAGGTTGAGGTCTATTTTCAAAACTTACGTTGAGTAAAGGAACTAAGTGTACGGGAGACTCTGAGTTGGGTCAAGGATACGGGTAGGGAGAGAACTGACGTGGAGTCTAAGGCTGTGCATGTTGTATCCGCAGTACAAACTGGACCTGGAAGTTCTTCTTTTAGAGTTATTATTGATTATCATATTAAGCGGTCTGAGAACTGGCATAAATATGAATAATGAAACAATAAAATTAGAAATCTGGGCATTAACTCCTAACTTTCTGATTTGAATTGCATGACATAAATGGGAATAAGTGCAGTGACTATATTCATTAGAAGCACTATTCAGCGGATGGAAGGCAAAAAGAACCGGAAGTTTTCAGAGAACAAGAACAAAAAAGAGTGACATAATTAGACAGCAGATTTCCGTTAAATAGGAAAATAATAACTAATAGCCAAACTAAGTTGATACAAATGGTTAAAAGGCATTACTTAGTTAAGAGAATCCATAAAGAAAGAGTGTAGATTTAATTGAGAGGGTAATGTATGTCATACTCTATAATGTCCTCCCCAACTGCGCAAAGGGGGCATGAGGCTCATATGTGACAACCTTAGAGCATCTCCATTGCTAATGATTCCATCGGGACCTCTTCTACATGGGACTCGATTTTATCAGACATTTGTATGTATGAGACACATGTCCTAATTCATTTCATATTCGTTTTCTAGAATCATGTTCAACCTACTTTTCCTCTATTTATTATTCTTCGGTCTTGTGTAAGGACCTGTTATTTAGACTGAAACTTTCTTGTCTAGTCTAGCATGCTCTATTTCTGTCTGGCCTAATATTATGTGTAATTTGTTATAACTTCATGGTATTCTGATCTGATTTGATATGATTTGATCTAGTCCAAATGAACAAGTCCTAAAGTCCACAAATAGACATCGTCATTGACTTAATACACAAATTTGTTTCTATTTATTTCCTCCTATGTCCCGACAATTCTTTCGTACCACATACAATGGACCTGATGAAATGATAAATAGACCCTCCAACCGGAAAGGCTCTTACAGTTCTACAGTGAGGTGAGTTAGCCACTGAATGAAAGGTAATGGCCTGCCTTAGCACCCGACAAAATATACACTCAGAATTCTTGAATGCAAATAAGGGAAGCATCTGTTAAGTTACCAAGCCTTCTAAGCATAGAAAAGCATGCCTACAAAAGAGATTCCGGCCAGATACTAATATGATGTGGATGATCTTCCCTTAATTGTGTAGCCTATTGTAATTATACAACGACAAACATGGTTTTCATAGGTGACTTGCCAACCATGCTCCGATTTTGCCATATTGGATATGTATTGATTCAAAATATATCACCAAACAGCAGTTCATAATCACTTATACTTGCAAGCAACTAACCATGACATGATTGACATGAAGCCATTAAGTTCCAAAAAAGAGATATTCATTCATTCCCTTACATTGACAGTAATATCAGATCAGATATGCAGATGAATGGACACATAAAGGTTTACATAGAAGTCAATGAGTCATTCACTAATACAATAAGGGGACCAAAGAAATATGCACTAAACCAGCAACTGTAGTAGTTGCTCACCTACAGCAGAAAAGATCTTGACTAACTCAGATTAAAAAAAAAGAAATCAAACCACAGTTCAATCAACTAAAGAAAGTGAAAAACCAAGAGGGAATGATGAAATGGAGGGAGGGAGAGGGAGAGAGAGAGACCAGCCATAGAGGGAGCTCAGGGAGCCTATGAGCAACAATAAGCCCGACGAGGCCATAGCCGAAGAAGTTGTGCAGAACTCCAATGAAGAGGACAACCCAGATGGGCAAAATCTCGCAGAGAATCCCGGGAAGGAAACCAATAGCGTCACCCAAGTCCTTAGCGACGCCAAGCAGGGCGACCTGCCTCTGATTGTAGCCCATGGCGGTCTTGATCACAGGGGAGATGCTCCCGAACATGTATCCGATGCCGGAGCAAGACTGGACCCACATCGAAGCCACGAAAACCAGCCATCTGTCTTTCAAGATTGCCCTCACTCTCTCCCCCAGCGCCATCACCAACGCCGGCGCAACTACTCAATCTGAATTCCTGAAGTTCAATCGGTAAACGGAAGAAGCTCTCTGGTATTCCGGTACATAGAAATGAGAAGGAAACACCACGTTCAGATACAGAGCAGTGCAGAACCGAAATGTTTTCACGTTTCTGCACCTGTATGAAAACAGAGTGGTGGGCACTGGAAAATAATGCTGCGAGATATTGAATTTTCAAAGGAGCGAGGTGACTTCCGGCCCCACGTCATCAATTATAAGCATATACGTGCCACTTAAAACACATTTTCCTACATGAGTACTAATAAATACACGTAGATTCTACCATAAAGTACCATACCTTTGTCCACATCATCAATGAAAATGTATCAGTTGAATTATTTAAATTTAAATTAAAAATGATAAAGTGATGTGATCCAATCAAATGAATGATAGATACTGTACCTCATTTTTAAAAAAGGTATCGGAGTTGTCAACAAAAATAAAAAGAATGAATTTATTGAGCACATCATGTCATCATGGCTCCCATACGACATCACCCTCCAATACTATACGATAGTATATTTAAAATATGATCACATATATTTAAATAAATAGGTGTAATGGGATAATGAGCTATTCTATTCACTTTAATCTTATACTTCATATATTGCTTATATATTTTTTATTGTTTATTCTTATTTATCAAGATCTAATCAGAAAAATTCAGATCAAATATATCAAATCATTAAAATTCAGAACAAACTAGACCATATCAGAAACATTCACACTAATTCGGAATACTTAAATTATGAGCCTCTTTGATAACAATGAAATTGACTTAATCTACTAAAATTTATGAAATTCTTGATGAAGTGATTAAATGGGTTGAATGTACCAAACTATGAAAAATTTATGTTCCAAATATACTTAACTAATAAAATTAAGACAAAATTATATGAAAATCAACTAAAACAATGTTTTACGGTGACTTCAATCAATTCAGTAACTTTAACTTTACTTATTTTAACTACTACTCAATTTAATGCGCGAATTAAAAAAACTACTCCTTGAAAAGAAAGAATGCTAAACCCAATAAATTGAAAATATGTGTTAGCAAACGTGCTCTGAATATTTACTTTTCATTGCCTTTGATTCCTAGAGTATCTATCTATTTTTTGCGGGAACACATCTTTTGTGACGGCTTGTTTTCTTTGATTGAATGAGATATCAAACAATAAAGGGAAAAGGGGCAAATAAGGCCACGTACTAACCAAAAAAGGTCAAATAAGGTCTTATTTATGAGGCTCTGTCTGGCCTTCGCCATTTGGGTTGGTTCTCGATGGAATTTTTTGATAAAATTTTTTGAGCATCTTATTCAGTAAGTCTAGTTTACTCATACCAAATATAAGCTAAAAATTCAATCGGGAAGCCATTCAAATGAATTCTTTAAGATAATTGCGCAGTTAAAAGCGCAGTTATCTTCAAAAATTCATTTGAATGCCTTCTCGATTAAATTTTTATCTGAAATTTGGTATGAGTAAACTAGAGCTAATGAATAATATGGTAAAAAAAAGCATCAAAAAATTCCACCGAGAACCACCCCAAATGGTGAAGGCCGGACAGAACTTCATAAATAAGTCCTTATTTGACCTTTTTGGGTTAGTACGTGCCCTTATTTGCCTCTTTTCCCAACAATAAAATATCATATCTTTAGTTTTAAGTATCACAGCTTCAAATATCTTTAGTTTTAAGTATCACAGCTTCAAACAATAAAATTTCTTTGATTCCTATATGTACTTTTTATTAGAAAAAATGTAAAAATATGCAATGAGAGGGAAATTGAAGTCTAGACTTGAAATTAGAAATTAAATATGCATGTTTTATTAGTTTTTAGTGAGATTGGAATATTTTGAAATATTTTAATAATAACATACTCCGAGCTAGTAATCATATTTGTGTTCGTCTTAAAATAATATCCTTATTCCTTTCTTAGGAGAAGAGTAAGTCGTTATTTATTCATTTCAACTCAAGCTTCACGTTATCACGTATGTTTTGTTTAAATCTTCCTTTTAATTAGTACTTGAAGTCAAGATTAGAAAATGGTTTATGAATATAATAATAATAATTCTCTTTAAATTAAACTTTCATAGGTGTGTTTGGAACTGATTCTGATTCTGCTTCTTTTTTAAAGCAGAAGCAGAATCAGAATCAGCTTTCAGAAGCTGGTCACCCCCAACTTCTAAAAAAACTGATTCTAGGAGTAAATTAAAGCACCAGAATCACTTCTACACTTTTACCCAAATACTTCAATTTCTGCTTCTGCTGAGCAGAAGCAGTTTTAAGAATCAAATACAAACACCCATACTTGGTATGTGATAATTTCGAGTAGCCCAGCTAGTCACGTCCCGACCATACGTATTGCCGGATGACACTTTGAGTCATACTTTGTCAATAGTACATCCCAATCTTCCTTTTTTTTACATCCGAATACAAACATACAAAACGTGTGGTTTTGTTTTCAAAATGCATTTATTGCATTGCTAGACTTTACGTTATACGTCCTATTCTCTCCAAGTTTTTCTTTAAATGTGCTACACTATCTTCGAAAATTTTAAGAAGCACGTAAGTGCTTTGTAAGGAACACGTAATCCACCTCTCACTAATTTCAAGAGAAAATTGTGCAAATTAGGATCAAATCATAGAAAGTTTACATGATTAGGACCTACTTAGTTTTTTTCCATCCATATGTTCTATTTAGTTCTAGTTTTACGAACCTTAATTTTTTTTTTCTGTTTCTACCCTCCAACATGTTGCAGCAAATTAAACATACAGAGCATTAAATTAAATCAAATTAAACATGTTGCAGCAAATTAAATCACATCGCGGTAGAATAGATCTGGCAACTTCCGCCACCTGCCGCCGTCAGACCTTCGTTGCCTGCCGCTTGCCGGTCTTCGGTCGAACTCCGCCGCATGCCTCCGTCGACATCCTCCTAAGACTTCTGTCGACCTCCGCCACTGGCCAGTACTACTGAGACCCCTCCCACCAAAGATGACCTCTGTTGCTGGTCCTCCAACGAACTTCGCCGCCACAGCTTATCCGACGACACTGTGGCTACTGCCGGTTCTCTGCAATCAAATTATTTATTATTATCAGAATTTATTGTTTATTTATTGCCTACTTATTGTCTATTTATTGTCTATTTAATGTCTGTTATTTTCTAAAAGTAAGAGTATTGTGGTCAATGCAGGTGTAGTTGAGTCTTACGCTAATCTTCGGTCTTAATTTTGGAAAATCCGTACGTTTTGCTCCTACTTGTTGAAATCTCCCCAATTTCAAATGTTTCGGTACATTAATTTAAAGCAATCAGTTTTTAAATAAATTGCACTTCAACTTTTATAAAAAGGAAAACTACGCATGACCTACATTCAGCCGGAGTACTATATTCCAAAAGCTTGTTTAAAACTTTAGGAACTTTTTTAGGAAAAATTGATAGTAATAATACTCTTCCGTCCCATAAAATTCTTCACACTTTCCTTTTTGGGCTATCCTAAAAAATTCTTCCCACTTACCATTTTTGGACAATTTGTGTGGTTCACATTCATTTCATCTTTTTCTTACACAACCACTACCACACATTTCCACTTAATTCCACTTTCTTAATCTCCATGTCAAGTCAAAGTGGGAAGAATTTTCTGGGACAGAGGGAGTAATAATCCAACTTTTTATCACTTTTCTCAGAATAATTTCCCTTTTGTTTAATCTCGAAATAATTTCATCTTCGCACCTCATTTTTTTCGTTAGTCTCTGACGGTTGATGACTAACTATATATTTTTTTTTTTGCATTTTCTCTGATAATATTACATAAGTAATCTCATCTTACACAAATCTTCTGAAAACAATTTTATTTTTCATTTTTTCTTTTTTCTCCCTTATATTTTTCTTTTTTATGCTCAACTTGGTGAAAATATATAGGAACTTCTTGTATTGCTTTTTGTCATCCTTCTTCTTCAACCTTTGAGGGTAAAGGATGGGGGAAACATATGTACCCATAGATGCTGGTGAGACATGCTCTTCTAGCCCTTCATCTCCCTTCTTCTCCATGGATTTATCTTGAATTTTTGGCCCCTCCATTTGCTTACCACTTCTCAAAGTGATGGCCATGGCCGTTTCTCTCGGGTTGACCTCCGTTATTGTGGGAAATCTTCCATGCTCTCTAGTAGTTCTTTCTTAAGCAAGTTGACCAATTTGAACTTCCAAATTGTGAATGGAAGATTTAGTATATTACTCAAGGCTGTCCATGCGTTGATTGAGCTTCCTATTTTGATCCTCAAAGCGTAAGTCAAGTTTGGTGAATTGAGTGTGGAGATTTTTGATAGATGCCCCCACTCTACAATGGTTCTCCTAACCTTGAGCTTGGATGACAGTCACATTCTTTGTGAGAAGCTTCATCATCACCTCCATGGTAGGTTCTTTTGGTTGACCAAATGTAGGAGCTCCGGATTGGGGGTTGGAAGAATTCCCTTGTGGCTTCCAATTGTTACCTTGGTTGTACCGTTGTTGATTGTTGTTGGAAAAATTATTTCCTCCTTGATTTGCCCGTTTACCATAGGAATTCATGTAACTAACATCCTCAAGATGTTGAGAGGAGTTACCTTCCACATTGGGGATGCTTTCCACATTGGCCACTTGTTTGGCCCCTCCAATAACGGCTTGAATGGCCGTGTGAATTGATGCTTGTAGATTTTGTTGAATTTTGGTTTGAAATTCTTCAAACCTCTTGTCAGGTTCATGAGTGATAGAAATTTCATTCACTCCCGCTACCTTGATGTCTCCTCCTTGAAGTTGAGGATTTGAAGCAATGGACTCAAGAATCCTAAAAGCTTTCGTCTCGGTTTTGTTGCCGATGTATCCCTCCACTCGATTGTCTACAATAGTTTGACAAGATGGGTTCAAGCCATTGTAAAAAGTGTCTATTTGAAGGTCAAGAGGAATACGGTGATGTGGGCATTCCTTCAACAAAGACTTGAAATGCCTCCATGCGTCTTGAAAAAGCTCTCCAACTTGTTGTTTAAAGTAGAAGATTCTTTGCCTTAGCTCTTGTGTCATTGTTGGTGTGTAGTACTTGGAGATGAAGACATTGTAGATCTCTTCCCAAGTAATGTAGGATGTCGGTGCTTGCTCTAGGAACCACCCTCTTGCCGCTCCCTTTAAGGTGTAAGGGAAGCATTTGAGCCTAAGATCACCTTTATTTAGTCCATTCCTTGGAATCCCTTGAATGA